TGTCCTCGTGTCTTTGCCGGTACCGGTGCTCGGCGTGGTTTCATTAGATTCGGTATCTGAAACATTTCCGGAGAAAAAGAAAGAAAAAAAAAAAGGAAAGAAAATAAAAGTCAGTTCTCTAGGTTGGATCGATGACTCACCGTCTAGTTTTATTTCGTGTGAAAATATCAATTAAATACAGGGAATATTGTTCAACAATATTCTCCAATGACCATTTATCGGTATTATCGCAATCATATCCGAGATAGCACACAGCGTCTTGTGAACATCTTAACCCTCATATAACACGATGGTTAGGCCGACTAAACGGAAGGCGGCGCTCGGGTCAGTTCGGATCCGTAATAACTATTACGATTTGCGTTGATTGAATTGTTGCCACAATTTATTTTATGAATTTCTTAGACATAAACTAGTGACTTCCATCACGTGACGATTAGCGGGACTCATTCGCAACGTGCTTGGGTCCGAACGGACCCGGACACCGCCGTGCGAGAGTTAAATACGTGGAATAAAAGCCTAAAGATGTCCCAAAGACGTTCAATGTTACAAATCGAGATGTTGAGTTGGGGCGCTGCGAACCATTCTGCGTTCGGAAACGTCTTAAAGACACCTTAAGGCCCGATACACACTAGCGGTCCGCTAAATAAATATTCTTCAGTGCTTTAGAACGTATCCATTCACACTACGGATAACGATTCGATCACGATCTGGTTTCGTCCTAAAAACTGTCTTTGGAAAGAATATTTTACCACCGGTTATTCCATTCCAATGCCGATTTTGATGAAACTGTAATATGCTGTACTCTATTTTTTGTTTCATTCGCATTTTTAGCCAAACGTAGATGTATAAACTAATTTATATTTCGAGAGCAAAGCGGAATTGGACCGGACCGAACTAGACCGGGAACGGACCGCTAATGTGTATTGGGCCTAAAAAGACGTAATTTTTGAACGTTTTTGGAACGTACCGATTTGTACGTCTTCAAGATGTCCAAACGAAAAAGATGTTTAAACAAAAAATAGACATTTCTAAGACATCTTATACTATTTAGATTAAAGCATTGTAGATTTGATGCTTGCCTTGTTTTTCTGTTATTAGTGGAGTAATAGGTTTTGTACAATGTGGTACATCAATGGAGGTTATTGTCGATTTTAGGTTACATCTACCGATATTTTCGCGTAAGGGATGAGAGTTCCTTGGAAAGACTTCGTTAATGTCTTCCAGAGAATCGACAGAATACACTGACATTTTGGTGATAATATCAATTTATGTTGAAGATACGCAGGAAGCTACTGCAGTTGATTATGTTAAAGTACACGTGATGCAATCAAATGTAAATGCTTATTTGCAGCATTTCGTTGCGTGGCTCAATTCAGACGGTGTTATAATTCTAACGAACATTTCGTAAATAGAACAATCACGAAATGAATTCAATTGGGGAAAAGAAACGCGAGAAAGTTTTAAATAGAAGATATTTCAGAATTTACAAAATTTCGTATTACAAATACGTAGGTGTATTTAAGGTTACAGAAAATATCGCTTCGCAAACTACGCTACGGTATTCTGAATAGAATTTATAGTGAAACTCAATACGTAGTGTAAACCCATAACCCGCGAGAAACGATAATAATGACACGTAATTAATGGCATCCAATATACAATGCTCGACATCGACAATTCTGAGTCATTAAAAATCGGTACAGATGACCAAGGATCTTAGAATTTTCGATGTTCACAAATATTTAAAAAATCTTTACGTTTGTTTATTTAAATATCTATGTTTATACGTGATCATAATTTATTTATGTATTGTTAGAATATTTACTTTAAACGAAAATTTCCAGAACAATACGTTATAAAATTGTAACATATATTTAAAAGAAATGTAACATTACTTTTTTTTGTTTTGTTGAATAACAGTGATAAATATCAAGTGGGTAATATATTATTTTTGTTAGAAACGTGCAAAACAATCAAATAAATTTAGTACTTATTTTTTGTACTAGGTGGGAGCACCTACCGGTAGAGCAAGTGGTGCCATCTATTGTTAAACTATGGAATTTTGAAATGAAATACAACTGTCGTTTATTTATGAATTTATCGGTTTCGGTTACAGTGTTGATCACGTGAAGCGAAGAGTAAGAGCATTTTGTGTATTAAGATTCATATTTGTGTATAAAAGAAAGTATCAAAATGGCTAAAAAGACAAAGAAAAGTAGTTCCAAAGCAAAGAATGTTAATAAAAACGTTAACAAAAAAAATATTTCACAAGTAAGTTATAATACATTGTGTAACGTACGTAATTGTCTTGTAGATGTCCATTTCTACACGTGGTATAAATTAAAAACTGCTTAAAATTACATAAAAATGTGAAAATATTGATTTTTCATTCGTTGTAAGCATTATATTTTCTTAGGAAACACAATTAGAGGATGATTACGAAAATAAACGTAAACCTCCTAAGGTCAAAGATCGAAATTTGAAATTCAAAAGCAAAAGTAAAAGTAAAAACAATAACTTAGCCAAAAAAATTAAGCAAATACATAAAAATGAAGAAAACCGTACTTCGGTTAATATTGTAAAGTCTGACACTGTAAAACTGATAAATACAAAAAAGAAAGGTCAAAGAAAAACGGTTGAATTTCAAGTTGAAAATGAAAGGAAACAGCAGCTTGGTAAACAAAAACAAAATCAAAACCAAAATAAAACTTCTAATCAATCAAATAATAAAGCTATCAAGAATGAAATATCTGTCAAAAAAAAAAAATCTAAAATTGAAAAATTGAAAATAAAACAAAAGCAAAAGGTGGACAATGAAACACAAAAACCAAGTTCAGTGTCAAAAAAGAAACAAAAACAGACTAAACCTGAAAAACCAAATTCAATACCAGAAAAAAATCAAAAGAGGGACAGTAAAGTACAAAAGCAAAGTTTAATATCAAACAAGAAAAAAACAAAGGCTAAACCTGAAAAACCAAGATCAATATCAGAAAAAAAACAAAAGGAGACTAAACTTGAAAAATTTAAAATAAAACAAAAGGAAAAGGTAGACAATAAAGCACAAAAACCAAATTCAGTGTCAAAGAAGAAACAAAAGAAGACTAAACCTGAAAAACCAAATTCAATATCAGAAAAAAAACAAAGAAAGATTAATGTTGAACAATTGAAAATAAGAAAAAATGAAAAGAGGGACAGTAAAGTACAAAAGCAAAGTTTAATATCAAACAAGAAACAAACAAAGGCAGAACCTGAAAAACCAAGATCAATATCAGAAAAAAAACAAAGGGAGACTAAACTTGAAAAATTTAAAATAAAACAAAAGGAAAAGGTAGACAATAAAGCACAAAAACCAAATTCAGTGTCAAAGAAGAAACAAAAAAAGACTAAACCTGAAAAACTAAGTTTAATGTCAGAAAGAAAACAAAAAATGATTAAATCCTTAAAGCTTGATAAAAAAAGGAGTAATAATTCTAAAGAAGCTCTAAGTCATCATAATTTAGATGTTAAACGATTAGAGGACTTGCTTGTTGCTAAAAGAAGAGAAAAAAAGCTTGAAAAAAAAAATGAAAAACCACCAACATTAAGAGAAAGAATGATGGTTAAACTAAAAGCTTCTAGATTTAGATATTTAAATGAAACCCTTTATAATAATGACAGCTCAGAATCTAAAAAGTATTTCAAGGATGATCCTGAAGCTTTTAAAGCATATCATGAGGGATATAAACAGCAAATTGATCAATGGCCACTAAATCCTCTGGACAATATAATATCTTCAATTAAAAAAATGTTAGTGTAATATTTGTTACAATATTCAGTTGAGCTTTAATTTTTACATTATTTTATGGTTTATTAATCATATTGTAGGCCAAAGGAACACATAATTGCTGACTTTGGATGTGGGGAAGCCAGACTTGCTGCTTCAGTTTCCCATAAAGTACACTCCTTTGATTTTGTTTCTTTAAATGAAAATGTAACTGTCTGTGATATGGCACATACTCCATTGTTAACAAATGGTGTACATGTTGTTGTATTTTGTCTGTCTCTTATGGGAACTAATCTTAGTGACTACATTATAGAAGCAAATAGGGTTCTAAAAAAGGAGTAAGTACCAAAGGAAAAATTAATATAAGTAGACTTTAAGGTAATGAAAATTTATATAAAACACAATTTGCAGTGGTATTTTGAAGATAGCTGAAGTCGAAAGTCGATTCGATCGAGTAGAAGATTTTATAAAAGCAGTAACTAGCTATGGTTTTAAAAGCACCTGGCAAGACTTGTCTCATAATTTGTTTTACTTTTTAGATTTTAAGAAAGAAACTGATATAGGTGGCAAAAGAAATAAGTTACCACCTATTACTTTAAAACCTTGTTTGTATAAAAAACGGTAGATATTAAAAAAATAAACAAATGTTATATATTGTATGTTTTATAAAATTGACAATAAAAGGATTACTTTTTTATGCGTCTTATCTTTTATTAAACAAATACAATTGTATATCAATATAAAGAATTGTCCCATGATGTTTTGATATCATATTTCTTTCAAATGAAATCAATCACATTTTGGACATTTGATGTATGTGCCTGCTTAAACAATGTGCTATTCTCAAAACACATTGATCTGTTTGGCACAACATTACAAAACTTATTTTACTTATGAGAAACAAAACTATAATAATAAAAAAAAATTTGGTATTTGCA